TATATATATATATTTTATAAATGTTTTTAATATTTATGGATTTACATTTTATATCGATCTTATAATTATAATATGTTTTGGAAAAAGAGAAAGTACAAATATAATATTAATTTATTATCACTAAACTTCAAATTCATATATAAAACTGTATACAATAACATTTATATTTTTTTGATATTGTATTTTTATTGTTGATCATCTTGAGCATTGAATATATTTTAATTTGAATTTCGATTTATATTATTTTGATTATCAAGTTTATTATTACTTGACCTTGTGCGATTTGTTTTACAAAAGAATAATAATAATTATTGGCTATTCTCTATGTAAACAAAACAGAATATTTCCGTTAATAGGTGGAATCTTTTTTAAAGAGGTATAGATTTCTCTTTTTGATACTCTTTATAAAAAAGGGAAAGAAAAATAGAAAAAAAAGAAATTATGTTCAAAAAAGAAAATGTCCAATATTATATTGGGGCTGCTGTAGGAGTAACAGGTATAGACAAGATTACAATACTTATCTTGGTCAATTCTAATCTATTCCTGTTGTAATATAAAACGTATTTGCAGTGGGACTATGTGTTGGAAAACTTTTATCTTCAAATACATCCATTGTCATTCAAAATAAGATATATCCAAATACATCTGATATTAAAAGTAAGATATCTTAATGCTATCACTTATTTATTGAAATGTTATTAGTTTTTATTATGTACTGATATACATTTTTACTTGGTAGATGCTTCTGTCCATCGATCTATCGGCAAGACATTAAAGCTCGATGACATGTCTACTAATAAATGTCATTCACGTTCTAAAAGTGCTCCCAGATATAGTGAGAAAAATATCGAAGATTCTACACTTCTAATTGCACCATTAGCAAAACCAGCATTAAGTGATTCAAATATAAATATTGATACAAAGACACCAATCAAACAAGTGAAATTGTACAAGATGTTACCTACTTGTGAATCTTATCAGATTTTAGACGAGGAAAAAAGTTTATCTCAGAATACAGAGGCATGTTTCCTTAACAATGTAAAAGAAAAAATACATAACAGTACAATATATGTACACGAGAATACAATTTCAAATGCCACCTCGACATTAAAATCAGATTTATTGAATATCAAGAAGACAGAAGACATTCCAAGAACCACTATCGAATATCCATCTGACAGCTCTAATGAAAGTATCTCTTTGTATGTTGACAGTAATATTGCTGCATGTAATACAATTGTAGATGTGGAAAAGGCAAACTTAACTTCTACTCCAAATGATTACGAATCTTCAGATATCAATCAGTATGAATTTAATGAATATAATTTAATATCCTCTACAAAATATGATATTTCGATTCCTTTTTAAATTTTGTTTGCATCTACACAAAGAAGCTTTTTTCCTCTATATTGTTATGGATTATTGCATATATTCTGATACGTATGTATAAAAATGGCAATGTATGAAAGTTTTATGAATAAATTCTTAGTTGATGATAAATAATATTTAAAGAGCAAGATTTTATCGCGCCGGATAGTGAATAATCGGAAATTTCCAATGCATTATCAATTATATAAAGATCGATGCCTATCGCGCGCGAAGATTCTACTTTCATGAAATTCGAAATCTCGCGCTATTATTGGCGAGACGTTACTCGACGACGCTCCCCCGCGTCGTATTGGCCGGGCACGCCTACATTATGGCGGCGGAGCAGAAAAATGAGATACACAGCCCGTTGCGGTGGAAGGGCTGCGATGTGGACGGATCGCGGTTTTGTTGTTATTTCGCGTATTGAGACGAGTGTCGGCGCGTTTTCTCGCGACGTACGGTATGCGATGTGTGTCAGGTGCGCCGAGACGAGCGTATAGAGCTCCCTACGTAATCCTACGCCAATACGGAACGGGTTCTCCCGTGTCGTGTCATTGACTCAGGACGAAGTGTCAAAATTTATCCGAGCCCGTTTTTTTCCCCTGCCCTCCCCACGGTGCTTCAGAAGGAGAGAGAGAGAGAGAGAGACAGAGACATTAAAATCTCTTCCGCGAATAAAATCTCGTCGACCAACAATCTCTGTACGGCTGGTGCGTCGTGACGCGAGAAGACGCGACTTGTTTGTACATACGTGCGAGCGTTAGCAGAAGTAAGGACATATATACATGACAACGTCAGCGCGCTTTGTTTTCTTCGCGTTTTCTTAGTGTCGCTAAATCTCGCACGGAGCGAGTCGATGAGTTATTACGCTTGTTGATAAACGAAGACACTGAAGACTCGCGACGACGTAGTGCGACGTACATCATTCGTTATCACTCTGTTAGTGCTTTTTTTAAAACTTTATTTTTAAGCTAGAACGATTTTTTAAATACGCGTGCGAGTTTCTGAATATCGTGAAAAAAAATTTATTATCTGCGGTGTTTAATCTTACCCTTGCGTGAAATGTCATTGGACGTATCGTCGATGTGTTCGTATGATTTTATAATATACATATCTATATATAAATTTTTTATATTTTAATTTATTAAGCTATTGATTAAAAATGTGCGTAGGTAGTTTTAATCAATTAATTATTCATTTATTAGATAAGAGTTAGCAGTTTAATATAACTTTATATACATTTATTTATAAATATTTGTGTGTGTATATTTTAGACTCTGCAATTTGATCCTAAATGCTGAATACTATTCACAGGACACAAATGAATACATAATCTGTGTTGAAATATTACTAGGAATATAATAGTCATTTACCTAAGATGCATTTAATCAAATTCATTCATCAGTGATTATATATTTGGCAAAGTTGGAGAGTGATGCCGGTTCATCAGATTAATGTTAATCCGCCTGACTGGCAACCACCCTTGTCGATTAGTCCTTCTAATAATACAAGTCCTGCTGGTGGAGAAAGTTTACCAGAATGGACACCACGGGTAATTCTTTATTTATCAAGAATTAATAATTATTTTAAATCTATAACAAAATATAGGACAAATAGTATCTCCAAAATGCCTTTTCTTGAAACTGTGGTTTTTTAATTCAACTTTGAGTCGAGTTTTTTTTTTATTAAATGTTAAAAGAATTTATCAAATTTACAAGTCCTGCTGGTGGAGAAAGTTTACCAGAATGGACACCACGGGTAATTCTTTATTTATCAAGAATTAATAATTATTTTAAATCTATAACAAAATATAGGACAAATAGTATCTCCAAAATGCCTTTTCTTGAAACTGTGGTTTTTTTATTCAACTTTGAGTCGAGTTTTTTTTTTATTAAATGTTAAAAGAATTTATTAAATTTTAAATTATGACAGAAAAGGCTTTTTAAAAATTAAATTTTAGAACAATAAATAGATAATAAAATTATATTATTCAGTTCATTTCAAATAGATTTTAGAAATCTAAGTTGAACTTTAAATACAAATATGTGTATCTTAGTGTTAAAAATGGGAAAAAGTTATATACAATAAACTGTAACCTCCCCTATATAAATTGATTTAACATCAGCTAAAAAATTCACTAGTTTAAAGGAAATATGATCATTATAGGACATTCTGTACATTATATCCAAAAATAAAAAAAGAAATTGAATCATTTAGCCAAGAACAGAAAGCAATATCATGAAAGAGCAAGAATATAAAATACAAATAGTGTTGAATGTAATATTTTGTTGTTGCATATAATTTTATATTGCCTTAATAATTAGTAATATATAACACAATAACATAATTAAAAAATATACTTATATGTAGACATGAATTATATAAAAGACAAAAATAGAGTATTTCCTCATCTCGTGAAAGATATTTTGCTTCATCAAAAGATAGTCATTTTTCCATTTGTCAAGCAAATAAGTAATTAAGCTTTATCCAATTATCTGACTGATATCTGATAAAGCTCAAATTTCGTAAATCATTTGATCTTCTGGTGCCACTGTCAATATTTCAAGAAAACAGATTCAGCTTCCATGAAACAAGGAAATACTATAACTTACTATACTTTAATTCTTTTGCTGATGATTCATAGAATTATACTTATTTTAGGAATCGAGTTATGCCACAGTAGTTACTATTATACCGGATCATTGTCACTCATCTGTAAGCACATTATCCTCGACCAACCATGATATTTGCAGGTAAATGGAATGTGTTTGTGTGCATGTATGTGTATTAATAACTATACATATATACATAATATAGTATTTACAATAACTATAATATATATATATTTTTAACTTTTATTTTATTATGAGAAAGTTAAAACTTTTTATAAACAGGATCTGCCATTGCGAAGGTGAAGAAGGTGCCCCTTTGTTAGCGCCTTGCTATTGCAGTGGCAGTTTGCGTTATGTGCATCAGGCTTGTCTTCAACAATGGATAAAGGCTTCGGATACACGCGCCTGTGAATTATGCAAGTTCACATTTATTATGCATGCCAAGACAAAACCATTTTGCGAGGTAAGTAAACTTGTTCTTCAGTGGAGAAAAAAAAAGAAATTCAAGAATGAAAAATGCCTTGATCCGATCACAGTTCCAATTTTTTTATTATACCAAATGTATAATATTATGAGTAATGCATAATATTTGTAGTGGGAGAAACTCGAAATGTCCGCACTAGAAGTGCGAAAATTATGGTGCGCGGTCGTTTTTCACGCTGTAGCCGCTCTTTGTGTAGCATGGTCGTTGTATGTACTCGTTGAACGATCTGTGGAGGAAGCCCGTCGTGGATTCGTCGACTGGTCTTTCTGGACTAAATTAATAGTCGTCGTAATCGGTTCTACCGGTGGTTTAGTCTTCATGTATATTCAATGCAAAGCGTACATTGCATTATGCAGAAAGTGGCGAGCGTTTAATAGGTATGTTTTGTATTATTTTCAATGTTTCTCACACTCGCATATTTATATTTCGAATTAAGATTACAATGTCAATTTCTACGTTTCAGAGTGATATTTATTCAAAATGCTCCCGAAAAAGTGGTGCTTCCTCCGTCACCCACTGACTCTTTGAGAGAGGTCACCTTGCCCCTGAAGGATCCAACTGCCTCAATGGCTGAGATCAATCGCACTCTGTTACCCCGTACCATAGATCCTGCATGTGCCTCGCAGATGTCGAAGACCGACTCTGCTGCACCACAGAGGCACGACG